TGTGTTTTGGGTAGTTACTCTTAGCAAATATGGTTTTAAATCCAAAAGTTGATCTCTACCATGATCAATCAAAGCAGCAATAGCCGATACTATAGAATTTAAACCATCTCTCCTAGAGTAAACATCAATAAACAATAATAATAGGACTTTTCAATAATAACAGTGACAGTACAAAAATAATAAACACTATTTTATAAGTGTGTTGATAAGGACCCAAAATCAATGCTAAAATTGCTTTTACATCGTTACTGTCTTATTCAAAAGCGAATATCTCGAGTAGAAATAAAGCTATTGAAATGAATCAAAAATAAACTATCGACAAAAGACGTACCAGGTTGAAAACAATTAATAAAGCAAGGATTTTAGAAATCGTTAACAGGGTGTTTCAAATTTCCATGAAATATCAACAATTTGTTTTCCCTCGTATAATTGACAGATGGAAACGTTAATTTTTAATTTAGTAAGAGATGCTAAAAAGTAAAATAATTTAGCTACAAATTGCTTAAAAAATCATCAAATTCGGCCTACTAGAACAATATATATGTTAAAGTTTAAAATACATATAAATTTTAAGGTACCCGTTTGTCGTGCCGGTGAGTGTAGATAAGAAAAAATTGCTGTATGTTTCTATTCGAATATTGGTCACTAGGGGGCGTAACAGCAACACAAATGTGAGATACGTCGAAAATATTCGCACTGTACTCTTCAACCAATTACGTATTTTTTTAGCTTTTCACAATGTTTATCTATTTTTAAAAACAGAGTGATGAGAGAAGAGCAAACGTTTTTACTTTCAGATGTTAATATCTCTATTTTAGATGATGCTATTTTATTCAGCTTGGTATCGAAAAAACTCTTGTCTAGCTCTACTCCGAAACTTTCTTAGTTTAGTAGTACTTTCTTAGTTAGATGGCGTTTAGAAATTCTCCAAATTATACAGTTTTTTTTAAAGTACGGTTTAATCTAGGTTTAATCTAGCACTGTATCTGAAAGTTACATTGAAAAATCACTCTCCAATAAACTGGGGATTTTAGAAAAAATATTGGAACCACAGTTAAAGCTGCCACAATCTCCTAAAACTGTTTCCATCAAGGTGCTTTCTTCAAACACATGCAAGTGTCGTCTCCCACAAATATGACTGATATTGATATCAGACACCAATTTTCACCCAAATATTGATGTTACTTCAGAAATTATTTGGAAAAAATTGAAATAAAAATGAAACTTCTACACCCTGTACCTCCGAAACTAAGCATTTTAGGACATACATTTATACGAACTATTTTACTTATTTTTATCTGCAGAATATGCTGCCGAAGTTTCCCGAATACAATCCGGACCACCCTGTATAGCAAGTCGAATTCTGAGCTCCACTGAGGCTTCGCTTAAAAATGATACCTCTCGTCGTTAGATTAGAGCTGGGTACCTAGCTAGCTGTGGTCAAAACTCCAGTACTTAATGGTTGTGTTTTAGTCGACTCATCTCAATTCTAAAACAAAGAAAACAATAATTCGCTACCTAACCACCGATCGGTGTAGTAGTCGCAGTGAGTGCCTGTCCGCGCGGTATCGTGACGGTAAAATATGAAATATTCCGGAAATTGCTTGTCACATTACGGGGGGAAACGTGCCGGTGACAGTAAAATACCGCCTAAGGCCCGGTTCACAGGGCGCAGCTTGACACGCGCGTGATTAAGCCCGGTCACGCACAGGCTACTCTGCTCTCTCTTTGGCTCGATTCGGTCGACCGTTTTAAAGTGGCGTGTGTATAAAAGGACGAGACACTCCCGAAACTATCGGCTATCGTTTCAATTGAATAAATATAGGTATTCGAGTTTCGTTAGGAGGAAAATCAATAGGAGTGATAGTATCGTCGAGTGATTGACATTGTTGCCTGTCATAATTAAATTTCTTTTTTACGATTATTAACGGGGCATAAAGCCAGATTTTTATTAATCCTTTATAATGTTTTTTTTTTGTGGTAGGTACAGGGTGGGTCAAATTCGACTCTTTTAAATGGAAACACCCTTTTCTATAGGAGATAGACAAAAACTAATGTCGGTGTCTGGAGCTTAATTTTTGTCAAAAATTTGATGGTGAAAACCGCATATCGATATCTGTTACCGTTTCGGAGTTACGGGGTGTTTTTCAAAAATATGCATTTTTAACAAATCGCTGTAACTTTTTTGCTATGGAAAATTTTGTATTTTTATGGAAACATTTCCACAACAACTTTTTTCGTAGAATTAAATGGTTTAAGTATAATTTTTTTAAAATTATTAATTTAAGAATTATCAACAGAAAATTTGATTTTTTATATGAGACGCCCTGTATATTTTTAATTTATTGAAAAGAATTTAAAATTGCCTTTCCAAAAATATAACACACTTGATATTTTGCTCGATTCCTCTTCGAGATATAGAGTATATAAAAATTCGCCCGCTTTAAATAAGTAGGCTTTGAACGGCACCGGGTGTAATGCAAAAAAATTCTAGCTGTGAGCATCAATTAAAACGAAAATAATATTTGCTATGAGATATGCAGAATTTTATAACAATTTAAAATATATTTAACCAACATCAACACATTTAAACTATATCTAATAACAATAAAAATAAATAGCAAACCAAGAAATGAGATTTTGCTACAGGTGTTCGACATATCGACCGTCTTCTGTTATGGATAGACTGGGCAGAATTTCTCGCGGAATTCATTAACTCAGTGGGGGTGAAAGATACCCTCTCATAACTGCTAAGTATTTCTAATTCTTGTCTAGCTTATACGGAAGAATAAGGAATCTGTGTTCTTTCGCAAATATATCCATAGGATTAGATCCATGGGCACTAAGTCAGGCGGCCTCTACGGCCAACGGCTGGAATCTTGGTTAGCTATTCAATTATTCTTGAAATTGGCTGCAAAAATTTGCTGATAACTTCAGCGTTTAGAGGCGGTGCGTCGTCTTACTGGAAAAATATGTTTTCGAGTTCCATTAAGGGCGTATCATCAATAAGGGGTCCAAAGCCTACTAGTTAAAAGTGGCGAACTTTTAAAAATTTCAAAGGGGATTATAACAAAATATCAAGTGTGCTATATTTTTGGAAAGGTAATTTTAAATTATTTTCAGTTAATTAAAATATAGAGGGTGTCCCAAGTAAAAAATCAATTTTTCTGTTGATAACTCTTAAATTATTAATTTTAAAAAAATTATACTTAAACCATTAAATTCTACGTAAAAAGGTGCTTTGGAAAGGTCTTCATAGAAATACAAAAATTTCCATAGCAAAAAAGTTACAGCGATTTGTTAAAAAAGCACATTTTTGAAAAATACCCCGTAACTCCGAAACGGTAACAGATATTGATGTGCGGTTTTCACCATCATGTTTTTGATGAAAATTGAGCTCCAGACATCGATATTAGTTTTCGTCATAGGAAAGGGTATTTCCATTTAAAAGCGTCGAGTTTGACCCACCCTGTACATAAAAAAAATAAAACGATTAGGTCTGATTGCTTTTCGTCAGTCGGGTTATATATTTAAATTATAATGTTTTTTTTTCAAACGTCACAAAAGTATTAATTTTTGCGACGTGACAATATAAAAATGTAATTTTAATGCCTAGGCATAAAAGTGAAGCACTTCAATATAAAAGCGTTACGCTTTCAACGCGGTAAGCGAAAGTATTTTATTAGATTAGCGGAACGCCAAGCAGTCGATTTTGGTATTCTCGTGGCCGTGTGAATCGTTTTCTGGATACGCGTTGAGCACATATTGGCAGTATCGCAACTTTTTAGGTATCTAATAGTCTATTCATAGTCTATGCTAATAGTCAAATGTGGATAAAACGATGAAAAATGTCAATGTCACGTGAATTTCACTAGAGATCGAACAAGAGAACGCACAAATTCCGGAGTTCTGTAACTTAGAAAACGCTAAGCACTTTTAGCGCGCACTTAACTAGCGGTTTTGGTATTCTCATCTGACGCGCTCCGTTAAATCCAAAACATCATTAACCTTTCCGACAACATAATGAGGTATATTTCTAAAGATTATAAGATACCTATATTTCTTGGTTATAGATTTGTTATTTTTTGAAAGGCAATTAAAACCACTTGCACTTGCCACTTTGAAAGCGTAACGTTTTTATGTCGAAGTTTCAGAATTAGAGCCCTAATCGATTAAAAAAACACCGTTAAGTATAGAGTACCGCAAAATAAAAACACCAAATCACCACAATACACCAAAACACTTTTACTTTTACACTGGTGTATTGTGGTGATTTAGTGTTTTTATTTTGCTGTGTAACACCAAAGGTTCCAACCCTCAACTGTAATAGAGTACCGTTCTATAACATCGCAATCGGTGTGTTCCGATTATTGGATGTTCCGACTAAAGGAGGTTATGGTTTCGCATGTTAAAACGATAGTTGCGTAAATTGTCGCCTTGACGATAATAAAACTGTCATATGACATGTAAAAATTATGTTTACCATTGGAGATCCTCAGGTAATTCCGCCAAAAGATTGTTAATAACTCAAGTAACAACAATTCTTTTTGAACTTTTAACGGTCACTCTAGAATTACATAACTTTTATTAGCCTCAGGTGAATATCGTCCGTTTTTTTTTTTTCTCTTTTTTTTCGAATTAGGACGAATGAGAAATTTATTTATACAACAAAACGGAAGAGGCGGAAAAAACTGGAAAAACAATCACGGATGGCGCGATTTCGGGCTGTATTTTTGTATCTTTAACGGTATTTATTTATTTTTTATTTTTGGCGAGAATTTCAAATCGTTTGTTTACTAGCTAAATTTATCGGATTTTCCTGACTAACTTATTGCACGTTCCAAATATTGGAATTTAATTTAAAGCTTTAACATTTTCAATATTTTTACGAGTTTCGTAATTTTAAATTTTTACTGATATTGTGTTTTTATAGTTTGTTTTATTTAAAAGCTATTATTAAATTTGAACACAAAAATAATTATTTTAAATTTTTGTTTCAGTTCCTGAAATCTTCGTGAAGATCCTACTTATCCTTGGCATTATCAGGTAATATACTCAATTATATTATAATAATTAAGGATAATTTCATATACTGAATGAATTAATAATTATAAGCTGTTTGCAAAAAAAATCAATAGCTGTTATTAAATTGTATATTGCGTTTAAACTCCGGTTCCCGAGTAGATATTTAATATTATCTACTCGGTATAAAACAGAAGAATTTTTTTTACCAGATTAATTAAAAATGTTAGCACTTTCTATATTGAACACTTTCAGTTTGACTACAGCTATTAACTTTTTATACTCCGATAGCCTTTAGAATTTTAATTAAAACAACTCCAAAACATCATTAACCTTTCCGACAACATAATGAGGTATATTTCTAAAGATTATAAAGATACCCATAGTTTTTTGTCATTGATTTGTTAATTTTTTAGATTTCTGAACTTCAGAATACCGAACACTAAATTATTAATTATCTATTAAAATTTTAAGCATGTTATAATCATTCCTATATTTAATTCAGTCGATATATTAAAGAATAAAAGTTTATTTAAAGCATATGGTATAAAAAATATAATTAAATAAGGAAAATACATCTTCCTATATAATTATAACTCTTTATGTGCTTTATTAAACAAAATTTGTCAATTTTTACTATAGAATTTATATATTTTTATTTAAATAAACTCTTTATAAGCAATTTATATTTCCATAATTTACAGGTTTTTAAAATAAAGTAACTTTAATCCCCTTTTCCTTTTTTTAAATTTTTTACAAAATATTTTAAAATTTGAAAAAGCTTAAATGTTATATTTAAAATGGTTTGGTTTGGTTTGGTTTTTGATGTTAAAATGGTTTTAACTGTTACTATCTAGCAAAATATTCTATTAAATACCGTTTTCTATGCCTTTATGTATTTAACGCGAAAACACAAATTTAATTAAATTAATTAATTAAAAAGGTACTAATTTATCCGTTTGCACTACTTATAAACTCGATACTCCTCTGTATTTAACTTTATAAACAGTGAAATCGCATGCTCACTAATACACACGTTTTATACTAAGTGACGTTCTAACTTTGACAGCAATAAAACAAGTTGGTAAAATAAATTCTTTTACGCAAAAGAATTTTTTTATCTGTCACCAATACAATCACAATCTCAATGTTTACGCTCGTCACTCATGTCTTACAACTGGCCAAAGTCAAACACAATTGACTCTTCGCACACTCAAATCCGCTAACTTTTCATCACCATCTCATCACCCCGCCAAAAAAAACAATTTAAACAATAATTTCTCTCTTCTATCTTTTATTTTTCCTGTTTATGTTTCTGCAGTTTCAGGAAAAACGAATGTAAACAAATTTATGTATTTCTCGATAGGGTTAAAATGTAAATTGTTTTTAAAGAAGGTAATTGCGTGATGTAGTGAATCAACATTGATAATGCGTTAGATGAGTCACCTTCAGTAGATATACAACACAACTAGGAACCTTGAATAATGAAAATGAAAACTGCAGGTTTCCTTTGACTATTTCCAATGCTATAAAGTTATGTGTATTCATTTCTAAAAATAAAACAAAATTAAATTAAAGCTTTATTCAGAACATCAAAAAACTAAACTTTATACTTAAAAATTACCGTTTTTAACATAAATTTAAAAAATAAATTACAACATTGTTTAGCAGGCTTTTGTACGAATATTTCTAATAGTATCAAGCTTTTAACAGGATGGCCAAATTGGACACTTTTAAGGGGAAATACCCTTTTCTACTCCACCGCGCGCCCATCCACGACGCACAACTCATACTTATTGGTGTATGGAGCTTATTTTTATCACCCACCAACATGATGTTAAAAACTGTACATCGATATGTGTTAACGTTTCGAAGTTTTGGTTTTGTCAAAAAATCGGTGAAATTTTACAAATCCCATTATATTTTCCTCGTCATGCGCAAAATTTCTCGCTATTCTTATGAAAACATTTCAAAAGCGACTCTTCTCTACGTAAAATTTTAATGGTTTTAGTATATTTTTTTTTTTTTTTTTTTTTTTTTTTTTTTTTAGTTTATTTGTGTATATTTTTAATTTGCCGAAAATAACTTAATACAGAATGTTTAAAAATTCGCCACTTTTAACACCCAGCCTCACCCTTTGGATCCCTGATTGATGATCTGCCCCTAAGGCAACTCCAATCCACCTCACTTTTTCCAGCAAGGCAAGGCACTCTGCCTCACCATGCTGAATTCATCCAGCCACATTTTGGCAACCAATTTAGCAGATAACTCATTGATAACCCAGGTCAGCCGTTTGCATCCCAGGCCGCCGGACTTTAGCGCCTATGGATTTTTTATCTTTGAGGAAGAACTAAAGACATCTTAATTTTTAATATTGCCCGTATACTCCTGACAAGAAATTCAGAAGTTATTTAGCAGTTATGACAGAGTATCTTTCACCCCCACTCAGTTAATGAATTCGCAAGAAATGTTCCACCGCACCACACGGTCGTCTGTGCATATAAGAAGACGGTTGACATTTCGAACCTCTCCTGTAGCAATCTGTTTAAGTAGTCTTGTTTGGCTATTTTTATTATATTATAGTTTAAATGTGCTGTTGTTGTTAATTATGGTTTAAATGGGGGGGGCGGGGTTACAAAATTCTGCATCTTCCATTATGAATACCCTACTCTCTTCGTTTACATTGGCCTGCTGCCGACAGCTATCGGTACAGTATTTGTTTCTGCATTAACGGGCCGCCGCGAATCTTTTCACACCACACCCACACGCCTACCCTACCTCTCGAAGAGGACCCCCCATCGAGCAAAATATCTAAGTATGCTATATTCTTCCTCGCAAAGGAATTTTTTCTAAAGTTCTTTCATATGAATTAAAACACTCACTCACTCACGCGGTGTCCTTATAAAAATTAATTTTTCATGTTGCAATAACTCTTATTAGTTTTAAAAAAAAAAAAAAAAAAATTCTACTTAAATCATTAAATCCTACGTAAAAAAGGTGCTTTGGAAATGTCTTTCATGAAAAACACATTTTTCATCACAGCAAAAAAGTTACAGCGATTTGTTAAAATGCACATTTTTGCAAAAACACCCCTGTAACTCGATAACAGGTAACAAATAATCGATGTGCTGTTTTACCATCATGTACTAAAAATTGATCTTCAGACGCCTATATCAGTTTTAGTCTATCTCCTATAGAAAAGAGTGTTTCCCTCTAAAAGTCAAATTTGACCCACGCTGTACAACGGCTGTCTCAATTCTCTAGCCAATTCATAAGGAACTCAAGGAACTAAATAAAAGATACAAGTCGGTTAAATGGACACAAAGTTTTGCAATTTGATGCTGATCAAACTAATTGTCCCTTAAGTTTAAAAATTCCGAAAACTTCGTACCTAAAACACACAACACAACTTTTTTCTATTTTAAGGAAATGCCACACAATCGTTTATTTTTAACAATTTATTAATTGATAAAATGTGTCTAATCGAATCTTCCCGACTCTTTAATCAGAACTCTTT